CACCAGCAGGCGGTTCTGGTCGTCGAAGAGGAAGACGGAGAAGGCGCGGTGCAGGAGGCCCTTGTCGATGTTGGTCATGAGGTGGCCTGGCGTGCGAGTGCGTCGGTTAGCCAGAGCTGTCACGCGGTGGGTGGCAAGCGTGTGCGAACGAGGGACAGGACTGGGGGGCGCATACAGGCTTTCTTGCTGGCGTTGCCGATGGGCTTGTCGTTCTCGTCGAGCACGATGCAGACCTCGTCCATGAGGCGGATCTGCTCCTCATCGTGGCCGGAGAGGGCCTCGGTGCTCGTGTCAATGTCGGGGAACAGGCGCAGGATGGACTCGGCGGTGATGGGGTCCGCAGCCGTCGTGGTCGTGGTTGTGGTGGTCGACATGGCTGCTTGCTTCGGGGCAAAGCCGGTGGGCTTTCTGGACGAAAAGGCAGAGAGAGTCGAGGGGAGGGAGGGAAACACGCAATCGGCGAACAGCGGGTGGGCAGGCTTGTGATGCGCCTGCGGTGAGGAATTCGTCTTTAATCGAAAGGGGGAATAATAATAAGGTACAGTCTTGACATGGACAGCCAGGAGGGGTCGAGCCGTCCAATGTCACCCCCGCCCCGCGTTCAATGGCCCGCCGCCCCCGATTTTCCGTTTTTCAGCGCGTCGGACCCTGACGGTACCTTATCGCACTAGCCCCTCTCGACGGTTGACCCGATAAGAACCGAGCGGTCGGTGGAGCCTCGATACATCTTTGGTCAAGCAAAATGAGGAACATCAGGGGCAAGAGTCATCTTCAATCCCAATTATGCTCATTCGTAGTGCTACGGGATCGCGTACAAGAGGAGCAAACATGCACACATAACCATGTCAGATTCTTCTCCGTCACACTGGGCCATCACCCAGCGGCGTTGCGCCTCTCGGCCTCCCTCGCCGCCTTGTGCCAGTCGGTGAGATAGACAAACGTGTACTCAATCACAGAAACGCTAGAATTAGAAATTAGTCTTGTTCACATCATAATCACCAGAAAAGCAGGCAAACTCACAGCAGCAGGCCGATGGTGACGCCGAACCACAGGCCAGACAGCTTCCAGCCGAGCCCAAAGGCGGTGCCCAGCGACACGGGCAGCGCGATGAGGTAGTAGACGGAGATGCCGGCGTAGCCTCCGACGGAGGGGCGGCCGATGCCGCGCAGCAGGCCGTGGGCGCCGGTGCTGAGGCCGTCAAAGACCATCATGGCGGCGCAGATGGGCAGCACGGCGGCGACAATCTCCACGACCTCGTCGTCGTCGGTGAAGAGCAGCGGCAGGTGGTAGCGCAGGGAGCTGAAGAGGACAAAGTTGAAGACGCCCGAGGTGAGGGCGGCCAGGGTGGCGACGCGGCCCGTCGTCTTGGCGGCGTCGACGAGGCCGGCGCCGATGAGGTTGGCGATGCGGGTCGAGGCGGCAATGGAGATGGGGAAGGGGATCTGGTAGCTGATGGCCGTCAGGGTGACGAGCACGCTCTGGGCGGCGAGGTGGCTGGCGCCGAAGCGGCTCGAGAAGAGCGTCAGCACCTCAAAGGCCATGTACTCGGCCTGGATCATGATCATGCCCGGCAGCGCGAGCCACAGCATGGCGCCCCAGTTGCTGAAGGCGCGGCGGCTGAAGCCGCCCCAGCACTGGCGGCCGTCGACGAAGCGGACGTAGAGCAGCAGGCACAGCGGCAGCAGGTTCTGGGTCATGGTCGAGGCGATGGGTGCGCCGATGTAGCCGAGCTCCATGTGCCAGACGAGGAACCAGTTGATGAAGACGTTGAAGGGCGCGACGACGACGAGGACCCAGGTCGTCGCCTGGAAGAGGCCCTGCGCCTGCACGAAGCGCTTGCCGCCCTCGAAGCAGACAAAGGCGGGCCCGCCAAAGATGAGGACGCGCAGATACCGGCCGACGAGGCGCGCCGACTCGGGCTCGGGGATCATGAGGGCCAGCACGGCGTCCGAGTGGTACCACAGCACGGCGACGGGGACGAAGGCGAGCAGCAGGAAGAAGATCATGCGCTGCAGCTGCAGGCCGACGAGGTGGCGGTGGCCGGAGCCGTAGGCCTGGGCGCAGAGCGTGTCGAGCGAGGTGGCGAGGCCCTGGAAGGGCGCGTAGCAGGTGATGGTCGCCGTCATGGTGGCGAGGCTGACGGCGCCGAGCTCGAGGCGGCCGATGCGGCCGACGGTGAAGATGGACACGACGTTGATCGAGTACTGCAGCATAAAGGTGCCGATCAGGGGCAGAGCGTAGGAGATGATGGTCTTGGCCTCGCGCTGCCACGTCGTGCGCAGGGTGCCCGAGGCGACAGCCGCCTCCCATTGCTCCGTTAGGTTCTCGGGGCCGTCGGCGGTGGCGGCGGCGGCGGCAGCGGCGGCGTGTGAGCTGCTGCTGGCCGCTGCAGCTGGCGTGTCGGCGCCGACGAGCAGGGGCGTCGCTTCGTCTGGCGTCTGGACCGTGATCCGCGGTGTCTCTTCGTCGTCCTGCGTCTGCCGCGGCACCTTTGTGCTGAAGAGACGGCGGTACGCCCTGCGATAGAACGGCTCGTCTGGGCCCCGCGGCCTCTTGGGCGGCAGCACATGGTTGTCCCGCAACAAGCTCCTCTCGGCATCACGGCTCTGCTTCTTCTCGACACGCGTGAGAAATGGCGTGCTTTCGGGGTTCGTCTGCGGATTCATGACGGGCCTCGATGTGCCGTAGGCGACGCCGCTGGGTCGACGGTACAGCGTTGGCCCTTCGTCAGCGGACAAGTCGGTGTCCGAGTCGATGACATTGTCCATGGCGTCGTCGTCTTCAGACAGCTCGGCCAGATCGCGTGCGACGATATCCTCGGCGCGCGGGGTGCCGATCCAGGATGCTCCGCCAGTCCATGAGGAGGAAAAGGGATGTTCACGGCTCGAGGCCTTGGGCGGAATGGGACGGCCGTCGGCCATGGCTATGGCTGTCGAGGGGTCCACAGGAAGAGACAAATGACGTGAGTGGAACGCGGTGAAGCCCAAGGTTGGAGAGAGGGCGCAGGTGAAAGAGCGAGAGAGAAAAGGGGAGGCTGTAAGAGGTTCAGTTGTCAAGAGAGCATCATCAATGACTGAGGCTGGCAAGGCAAAAGCGAAGCAACTTGACACAAAGTTGAGACGACAGACGGGACGAGCAAGATGCAGAGCCCCCAGATAGGATGAGGATGGGCTGGTGTGAAGTCAACAGGTAAGATGAGAAGGAGGTCGGGCAAGCATTGAGTCAATAGATCTCGGGGAAGCACCCAAGGGCCAAGGCACCCCACGGCCCACGGCCCACGGCCTACGGGTGGTCCACCAGGCCATGCAGCTAGAGAGTCGGAGGTGAGCGACGATGTCGATGTTGGGTTTAGCTTCAGCCTGGGGCACTGGAAGGACTGGAAGGACTGGACCAGGCCTGGCACCGTTCGGCGGGGCATTGGGCGGCCCGTGACTAACGGCCCCAGACCAGACGGCCACCGTTTCTAACGTCCTTCTGTACTACAGTGGGGAGACAAAAAGAACGACGGATTGCCGTTATGGAAAAATACTGATTGAACTTTTAAAATACTATCATAAAATAAATAAAATAGCTATTCGTAATCTAAGTAGTAGACGCTATAGACGCAGTAAAGTTCTAATAGCATTATTAAAATCATTATTTATAGTAATCTATAGATCAAGTAACAGAGGTTAGAAAACTATGTGTTTTCGTGTGGGGACGGAAATCCGTCGTTTTGTTTGTCGCATGACTGTACCATGTCAAGCATGTACCCAAGTACACCAGTAGTAGTACGCCCGTCAATTGCAGTGAAGGCACTGCGTCAAAGGAGCCTCTTCATTTCATCAACAGACGATCCTTGAGGCCGGTGATCATCAAATGCACCGATGCACCAGATCCTCACTCGTTCGAGTGTCGCACCGAGTGAGAAGACCGAGTGAGAAGACCGAGTGAGAAGACCGAGTGAGAAGACCTCTACGTCTGAAACGAAACCCAAAGCCCGTCTCACGCCTTTCTTCTTGTCGACCCCTTGCTCCCTGCAGCGACAGCATCGTTCCTCGCATATGCATACCTATCTATGAGAGCTGTCGTTGTCTTGGGCTCAAGCAAGAGGCTGGTTTCTTCCAAAACTTTGTCAGTGTCTATCGTGGTGATCCAGACTCAGTGTTACCGTCATCTTTATAGATCCCGGGGCAGCTTTGGGAGAAAAGTTGGTGGCTTGCCCTGACAGCATGCTGGGCCGGCAGACTCCAAATCGAAGGCCGTGTTTCCGTTACGCGATGCGAGAAATCCGTGAGCGCCATGACGCACTATCATTCAGACATGGCCGCCAGCAGCTGTCTGAGACCTACTCCACCAAGACGAAGCTGCACTTGTCAGACAAATGCGTCAATCGGCCCAATGGCCAGTTGGAATAAGCACCTGATGAGCCCGTCGAAAGTCTGACTTTTCTCTATGCAAGATCGTGCCCGACATCTCATGTCCATGCTGGACCACCGGGGAGATTCATGCCGAACACGGCCCGGCTCGGGACGCCTCTCCATCGCGGGCTGGCTGACTTGAGACTGTTGGTCGAGCTTCCAATGTCTGAGCAACCCTGCCCTGGCGGCTGTTTCGCAACATGGAATCATTTACATACCCGCCCGCCGGGCTAGCCACACAGACGGAAAGACGCTGGATCATCATTTTGGAGAGCGACTGGCTGGGCTCAATCAGCGCAGACAGGGCTGTCAACACAGGACTTTCTGCCATGCCATAGGACGGGCTTACCAGGCAATGAAGCACGGGCGACACGGCATCACCACGACTGCCAGCCTCAATGAACGTCTATCATGGTCAATTGCCCTCGGCGCGGCTCTCTGTGTGAGGCGCAACCCGTCACAATTACATGTATTATACAGCATGTCGCGCCAGGGGACCCGCAAGATGCCCGGACCCCTTTGTCTCCCGCCAAAAACCAACCCGAATCATTCATCCAGCCCCCGTTGTCCCCTTGCAAAAGCCAGCTACTATTTGGCGCCCTCCCAGTCGGGGTTCTGTTTGTCCGGATTAGCGATTGTTTCTCTTGCGTGATTCGGGTCTGAGACCTAATAAACGGGGCTGTGCTTACCTTCTTGAGAATGACGAGACCCTCCAGCGTGCTGTTCAGGCTGATGTACTCCTCGTCTTCGAGCTCCGCCCGCTCGCCGTACGCCAGCACGACGGGCGTGCTCTGCGTCTGCCAGCCCGTGATCGTCTTGGGACGGCCGGCCTGGCCAACGACATCCACGGCCTGGCCGACGCGGACGTTGACCTTGAGAGGCTTGAGGTCCTCGCCCAGCGTAACCAGGAACCGGGGGTGCATGGCTGTCACCAGGAAGTAGAGCAGGTAGTGCGAGTCTGACGTGATGAATGA